CTCTTCGTCTCTATCGATCTCTCTCTCCGTCTCTATCTATCGATATCTCTCTCTCTCTCTTCGTCTCTCTCTCTCTCTTCGTCTCTGTCATCCTCGCAAATTTTTCCCGTCATCCTCGAGAAATTTCACAATCGCAGGGGCAGAATACACAATGAAGAAGTCTTAATAATTGTACTTCAGTGCGCGGCGGGTTTGCCCAGAGAGCGCCGTAGCGTAAAGCGCCCCGGTCAGGGCACTTGGGTCTACATAAATTCATCATCAACGCGCGTCTATGTGCGCAGGCATATGGACATTACCATTCTACTATGACTACATTCTTTCCACGAGTACAAGCAATAAGTTTTATCGCAATCGAATGAACGGTACGACAGCATTAAGCACGAACAACAAACACTGTTTTTATATGTTAGTTTAAAAAACTGTATGTAATTCAACGTAACTGAAATCTATTTTTTTAAGTAGATAATCTAAAACGAAGTATAACTAATTAACAAATACATGTTCTTTTTAAAATCACTTTTTGAGATTGAAGGGCGGCAAAAGCATCTATTTCATTATGATGTCTATTGAAATATATAACTATATGCCACTATTCCCCTTTGCACACGCCAATGTTCACAATGAAACTTACATGTGAATAAAAGCAAAAGCATGGTGCCAATTCAATGAAACCATGATAGTTCGCAAGCTGCAAGCTTTCATTTATAAGTTAATGTGATCTGAGAATGGCACACACTATTGTGAACTACAGCAAGATCCAAAGTACTAGTTAGTTGATAAAAATTACACAAAAAATTGTTTTGGATAAAATTACTTTTGAAAAACATTATTTCATTTTAATTGATTGATTAAAACCTTACAACTACTTCGAAAAATAATAATAAATTAAATTTGCATTTCAATTGTTATTTGTATGCAATGGCAGTAGAATGTCATAAAATACAAATATTTTTACAAATATAAAATACATATTTTTGCACTTTATCTGGGGGTAATAAGTGTATTACTAGGTAGTTTAGCTCAGTTGAGCGAAGATATAATACCTACTTGTTTAATTCATTAAGTTCATTCTGCCACTTGAGTTTTCCATTAGAAATTACGCTGTCATACCATACAAGCTCTGAATGAGGCAACTTCTTATGTAGTGCTTCCTGTAGTTCTTCCACAAATTTTACGAGCTTAGGAACATCATTTTCTGGTATTTTATTTTCCACATTCAGCAAATATCCATCAAAACCAAACCTAAATCATATAATTTTCTATAAATATTTTTAATAATTGTGATATTGTTTTTAGTAACAAGAAAAGCACAAAGAAGTACTTAATGAAGGAGGAAAACAAAACTTACCTATCAAAAAATATAAAAATTATGGAGGAGGTATAGCTCCCTATCACATTACATTCATTTGAAATAAAAGTTGAATGTTAAAACATTTATAACCCTCTTTTGGAATGTAAAACTATAAATATGTTGAACACTAATTTAATGTATATCACATGTAGTGTAATTAACAGCTCAAAAAATAATGTTAATAATGGTGAATAAATAAGTACTAATTGAATTACCATTGGAAAACAATTCCAGCCTCAAACAAAAAATTTGATATACCTACTTTTCACAAATTTCCACCATCTTTTTAACACATGAAACACGCTTCTTTTCATTAGAAAGAAGCATATTCCAAAATACTTCGCCTTCATCCCATTCAGTTATAAGTGTACCTAATTATAACAGAAATAAGTGTTTAACTTAAAGTTGTTGCTTGTAATGTATGTTACTGGAAAATTGTACATACCAAGAACTTTTACACCATGAATATGACCAGCTGTAATCCAGACAGGAGGAGGGATAGTTAATAACTTGTGGCTGAAGTACACAAATGTATCAATTCCAGCCCAATGAAAAAATCTATATGCATCTGGTGTTTCGGTGCCATCAATATATCTGAAAATACAGATATAGAGTGCATCTCCCTATGTAAGTAATATTAGCATATAAAGAAATATTACCGGTCTTCTATGTAGCCTCCTTTCATATCATGACAAACAAGAGTTTTAGGGACGTCTTCTGTATTAAGTTCTAAGTGTTTCCAGTCCGAGCTTTTACTACTATGGCAATGAAAAGATGACCCTCTCACAGAAAATTCGGTCCGCATTTGCAAACTTTCCACTTGGAAAGGGGTAACAAATTTTTCCCATTCCAAAATTTCTTGAAGAGATGTCAATGGTTTGCTCACTTCTTCTTTTTCTTCATTTTCGAAATCAATACACTCAGGAGAAGAAGCACTAACAAATGACATCTCGGATTCACAAATTTTTGCGAGGAAACCTCGATCTTCCGCTTTAGAGATAAACACTGTGACTCGTTATCCTCCCATCACACTATCTGAGAATGACGTCCGTCACGTCTCCCAACCTCAATGTTTTCATATGTGGCGCGCAAGTGGCGCAGTGTAGCGACGAATGCCAGAGTTGTGAATGCGCATGCTGGCGTGTTTTGTTCAACAGCTGACTTTCATTGAAAATTCTTGCCGAGTATTGTGTTGAATGTTGTGTTGTGGCGTAGTTAATTGTTTATTGCGTGTATTATCTTCATGTTATGATTTTCGGACGAATAGTTCAGTATCTACTTACGCCGAAATTGTTTAGGAGAGTGACTGTCAAGGATTCCAATGCAGTAAATAGTGCTCCCATTTCAGCCTTTGGAGAAAGTAGACAGATACTGCCCAATAGCAGGCAAGTGTGATTGTGAATCTTACGTAAAATTTTCTCACTGTTTTTAAAGGAAGGTGACGACAAGGATTAATGTATGGTGTTTGTAGCCAGTTATTTCCATTTTAATTATCATTAATGTGTTTAAAACTTGTTTTGGACAGCTTTCTTGGAAGTGTCATTAATTCAACTTTACTCTTAGTTTATAATAAACATCAAAATTCTTTACTTTCTCCTTATCTTAATTGAATCTTACATTGAGAAAAAATATTGAAGTTTGTTTGAATCTTAATCACCAATATCGGATACTGATGACAGATGAAGTAAATGCTTACAAATTACTTACAAAACATATGTATGTTATAAATTAGAAATATCTTTTCTAATTATTTTTTAAAATTGTTATTAAAAAATCAAAATTTGATGTTTATTTCCCAAATGTCAAAATTTAAAAAAATTATAATAAGGTAAGTTATTTGAAAATTAATGAGAATGACACTTCTTAATTAATAAAGTAGTTGTATTTCTAGAGTGAATTTTATTATTTATAAGAAAGAAGCAGAGTATGTGGATATTGAAAGAGATGGTGAAGCTTGCATCATAATTCTTATTCTAAGCCAGACGTTGTGGGATCTGACGATCTGTTAGGAACATGCAAAACAAACTTGTATCCATCACCAATTTCATCATAAATATTTTTCAGTTCATTTCCTGTAGCATTTTCTGTTTCTTAACTTCATCCTTCTATTGAGTTACTGCATGATTTACTACATTACTTTAATAATATAGTGCATCATTTTCATTTATAGGTACATTGTATGTGTTTTGGCTAATAATAGTTTCAGTATCATATCAAAATCTCAACTGTAATATTATATTTTGTTGGTGAACTGAACTCATTTCTACTGTTTTATGAGATGTGTTTGAAGTAAGTGTTCAAATTAAGTAAGTGTTGAAAATGAATTAATTCTTTTACCTAGTACTTTCTGAAACTAAATTTTTAAAACAAAATCTGAGTTATAAAAGTATTTCCCTAAGTTATAAGATTAAATATTTTTCTTATCTGTGTATGCCTCTCTATCTAACTGGGTTGAGAAGAAGTTCTGATTATGTATTGCATTGATTTAATAAGAAATCTAGAGAAGTGCTAGTTACTGTATGGGACTAATAAAGGACATGAAGTTCTCTTATTTGATATTCTTTGAAAACATCTCTGAAGTTTCTTTTGAATATTTACTTTAGACAGTAATCTAGAATTTTTCAGAGCTTAATCTCACTGTTGGAAATAACTCCAATGCTTACAGCTTGCAAAATATAATAAATAAAATTGTACATTTATATGAAAGCAAACCTACAAGCATTCTTCTTTATATATACAATTATTGGGAAGCGGGTCTTCAAATATTTATTATTGTGGGAGGTGTCTCATGAAAGTGGGTGAAAGAAGTATTCTTTTGAATATGATAGTGCTCATGCATTGTTTTATTAGAATAGGTGCTTAATTACTTTTAAATGTAATGTACAATAACATTGAAAGAGAGAGTAGAAAATCGGAAAAAATCTGCTGTTTTACTTAAAAAAAAAATCAAATCTATCATTAGGTTTTTTCCTCAGGCGATTTTTTAAAGAGATATGGGTTATGCAGACCAATCCTGTAGGAATAATTCAAGTTTATAGCACATTAGAGGCTTTCTGATATTCACCAGAGAGAATTAATTCCAGCATTAAATATTTACAAATAGGGAGAAATTTGCAAGAACACATTTTACATTGTACAGTACAAAATGGATTGTGACATCGGTAAATACCTGCCCGAAAGGTTTCGAGAGCAAACGATAAAGATTAGTGAAAGCGGACGGTTTGAACGTTGCCGGCAGGAATGGGCAAGTGACAGAATTACAATTTCTTCCCTGGGTTCAGGCATTGACGTGGGGATTTTGCCCTTATTGTTTTCTATGCTGAGGCAACTGGAGGGGAGTTCGAGCTGTCGGCTGCTTTAATTGGTAGTTTTCTATGGTTTCTTCGATCAATACCAGGTAAATGCTGGAGCAGTACCCTAACAAACGGGCCACGGACCGTGCGCGATCTTTCCTTCCTCTTCCTTGCCCTATCCTTAACCCTGCCACACACACACACACACACTAACATGCACTGCACCACCACACATACCCGTCAGTAGCTAAGAGCTTGTCCCGACTAGGGCGGTGCCCCGTTGAGGGTAGATTCCTGGTTAGTGAAAAATGTCTAGCCGACGGTAGGTGGGAGCCGGATCTCGCCATACAGCGGGGGGATAGTTCACCGCCACCTCCCGAGCAAAAAACATGCATTACACATACGGGACTAATGAGCCCGGAATCACTAAACAATCAATGGAAGGGGAAAGCTCCCTGCAAGCCGAAGTGTAGGTCGATGCCGGATCTGATCATCCAGCAGGGAAGAGATCACCGCCACATTCCAGGTTAAGGACATTCACCTCTCTAACGGGACTAATGTCCTTAGCAGTTGAATGTCCGGAAGCGTGATAAAAAATTTCCCTCGTGAAGTGCCCATAACAATTTTAGCATCGAAGATATCCCGTCAATCTACATCACCGGACTTCAATCCTGTTTATTTTTTATGAGATCATGTGATATCTTCGGAAGAGAAGTACTAGGTGCCATGAATCTGAGATGGAGAGTAAATTATAGGCATGAAATCGCTCGCTGTGACTCGTGTACTATGTACTAATATACTAATGCTGGAGCGCTTGTAGTTATCCTTAATGAAAAAAGTGAAAATTCGCCTTTCACTGCGTGGCCGTAGACTTGTTTTTATAAGCATTTTGAAGAGGTCTCCAATTTTATTATTTTTATTAATTTATTTATTATTTTATTTCAACACTTTATTTAATGTAAATTAGAATAATTATTTTTCTGAAAATAAACATTTGTATCTTTGTTAAGCATGCATTTGTGATTTTGTATGTTAAAGGCAGTTCGTCACAGGTGTAATGAATTTTTGTTTTCCTTTTTTTCACTTCAGCGTTTGCCAACCTATACCGCACACATTGCGTCAAAACTAGAGATGTGGTTTTATTTTCTTCTCCGCCTCTCCAGACCCTTGCAGGTTTATACGTCTTGACCTCGTTCACTTTGTACCGACTCCTGTGGAAACACGAATACTCAAACTTTAGTACTGTCTTCTGATTTTAAACTTCAATTGTTTCGTGGGCTATTGGCAAATAGAGATAAGAAAAACATCCCATCATGTTTTTCACATTCATAACACATTAAGGAGTACTTTTGGCGGAGTGTTCTTTTTTCTTTCGATTTTTAAATCGATTTTTTTCGATTTATCCGTTTAACTTTAAGGAATGATTTCAGCTTGTTTTGTCTCATTTGTTAGGTTATACTCGTTACACCCTTGAATTTCAACTAGATTTATGCTGACAAAATGTATTGGTAAATGGAGAATCTTTGGTACTGCATACTGCTGGGGTACTTCTTTCGAATGCTGGGGAAACGTCTTCGAAATTATCTTTAACTGTGCCGAGTCTAGGTATGAGCCATCACACTTAGTGATAGAAATGCATTTTTAGAATCGAATTGTCTGTAGTTCAGCCAGGGTGGGCTATGGATGGATTGTAGTCTTTGTCACCGTAGTCTTTCAACAAATAGCATTGGACGATGTAGAGATTCACTCCCATTTCGAGCCTTCCCCTCTCGAGAAAATAATATGGAGCTATTTATTTATTTATGTTTGTTGTTAAAGGTCGCGTCAACATTACGTCATTGGCGACCACTATTGCGTTTAACAGTATGGTAAATGTAAAGATGACATGATATGGTAACGATAACGGGCGAATGTTAATGATCAACGTAAAATCCAGGTACATTAAATCGAATGACCCGTGTCAGACCTAATACTGCTTATTTATCACTAAATTTTCAATATTGATTTTTTTCTGAAAGAAGAAATTCGAAAGCAATTCTGTAAGTGAGAATCGGAAAGTTTGTTCCTCAAAGTTTTGACTTCACGATATTTATCCTGGAGAAAAACTGCTCACATATGTAGTATGTGATGATATGAATAGAGAATGCGAGAGGATTGCTGGAAATTTGTTTTTCTCAACATCGAGTAGAATTCTAAAATTTCTACGTTCTCAAATTTCTTTACATCACTATTGCCCTGCAATTAAATAATGTTTCTGGGAAAGTCCACAGCAAATGGTGTAAAAAATAGCTCGTGTGGTTGTTCATTGATCTGAAAATGCCAAAAATTCAGCCACGGGCAGAGTCTTGACAGCAAAAATATGAAAATTTTGACATTTTAAAAACTTAGCTTGTTATATTATTTAGACTCTCCTGAACACAGCAATATGAATTTATTGCAAAATTCGATGCACAAGTGGGTTTTAAATGTTTAAATCTCCCTCTGCAGAAGTTCGGGGGTTTGTCGCTGTTGTTATGGCTCTTTTGATTTTTTTATTTATTCGGTCAACCTAATTATCAAATGGCAGTAACTTATGTAAATTCTTAGAAGATATTCTATTATTGACATTGTCACAATTGTAACTTCATTATTGTAGTTGTGTACACAAACATTGTTTTTTTTTATATCTCTCCTCTGCGTTCATGAGGCTAAAAATACGGTTTTCTAGGGAAGTACACTTTGTCAGAAAAATGACGATATGACCCATTTTCTCAGAAACTATTTAAGTTAAAAAAACAACGAAATTTTCAGGTTACCTTTATGTAAACATTCTGCATAAGTGTAGTACCGAATAGTTGTATAAAATGCTGTAATAATTTCCAAGTTCTAAGTAAAGTGATTTCTGAGGTAAAGGGTCAGAAATATAGTCAATTTAACATAGGCTGGATAGGACTGCCAGACCGAATAGTTGTATAAAATGCTGTAATAAAATGTATAATTGTATAAAATGCTGTATAGTACCAAATAGTAGTGTAAAATGCTGTAATAATTTCCAAGTTGTAAGTAAAGTGGTTTCTGAGGTAAAGGGTCAGAAATATAGTCAATTTAACATAGGCTGGATAGGACTGCCAGGCTTTAGTTAAATACCACTGCTTTAGAACAAAAAAAAGCAGCAGCTGAGAGGCTTCGATCGGAATTTGTGGCCCGAGTGGTCGAGGTTCTTGGAGGCGCGAGAACGGTACCCAATGCCTGTCCTTGTCGCGACCCGTGAAGGGCACACCGACGTCCACGTGTGCGGCTGGGGCGCTGCCGCAGTGGCAGGTTCAGCAAACTGTTTCTTTTTTTCTAAATGTTCGAATTTTCCGGGTCACGAACAAAAATCTAAAAATAACAAGATATTTGGTGGTCAAAATGTACTGTGCTCTAGCGCCTAAATCGTTCGTCCAGCTGAAGAATTTGTTACTGATACGTTATAGCTTGTTATTGCCTTTGATATCGAGCTCGATATACACTGCATAACTTAACTGGATCGAAAGGATCATGGTTACGAGGGAAATATGAAAACAGATGAATGATGCTACATGTTCCCTTATGGAGGGGATTTGGAAAGGGGATTATGGGAGGGAAAATATGAAAAGAGAAACCGAGTGAAGTTAACATCTAGTTAATTAGTAAATAAGGAAATCTGAATCAATGAAAGTAGGTAAAAATGAAATTGTTTGTACTTCGGGCATTAACTAGCGGCGCCCGCACGTGTTATTTGTCTGCCTGGGAGCGCGGGTAACTTCCCCTGACTGGGCTCGAATTTTCCCCCCAGATTAAGAATCTGGTGTACACGCGCAAGCTGAAGCGGCCGAGAGGCGGAGAATAGCGGTTTGGCCTACAAAAGGAAATTGCGTGATTTGTTTTATCAAAACACTGAAATTTGAATTATGATTGTATTCTTTAATATTTATGATGTCTTCTGTTTATTGTCTTTTTAAAGTTTACCTTGTATAATCATTTTTTCAACGGGTA